AGAGGTGTTGAAGATCGAGGAAGGTGATTGGAGTTCCAGTCTGTGAAGAACAGGTTGTTTTTCGTGATCCACGAGAGATAGACAAATTCACAAGACGTGAAGTGCTGCAGGGTAGCAGATTCACTGAGAGTTTTGGCAACAGCAACCGAGAATTGGTGCAGGAGAGCACAGGATCCACGGAGAGCTGTGAGGAGTGCAGTCGGGAGATCAGATAGTACGGATCGTTTAGTCTGGTAGACTGTAAGTTGTTAAATTCGTTTATAGTGGATTGACTGACAAAGTGCCCGGAGTTTTTCCCATGTGGGTTTCTCCGTGATCATTTTGATGTTGATTACTGCTTTCATTATATTGATTGATTATAGAACTGCGGTAATTCAATTTAGGACAAATTGACTTGAATGATTAATCATCTAGAAAAGAATTAAAAAGTGACTTGTTGCTATTTAATTCGTAAAAACATTTTAATTTCACATTAAATACCTATTTACCCCTCTCTACGTATTGTTAAGGTCGAACTTGTGTTTCTCAGATTTTAATGCTATTGTCGTGAAGTGGAACGTGAGTTAGTTGTCAAAATCAGTTACAACAAAGCGCATAGTTGTTGGTAAGGAATGAGTATGAGCAAGCAAGTTGCATTTAAAGTTTTGCACTTGTTGTGAATGAATTATATGTTAAACAATCAACATTCTTTATAGACAACAAAATGTGTAATTGTATTCAATGATCAGTCACATATTTGTGCAAATTCTAAACATGAATTCTTAGATCTATTACGAAAGGACTATAATTTTAGTTAATTTCATTTGTGTTTGTTTGGATATAATTATACAAGTCACAAATTATAGTATGATAAAAGTGAGTCGTGGAAATATTAAATTTAAATAAAATAGAGATCATATCAATTAAAATTGTCTCAATTCAAACTTTGTAATGTGAAAATGTTTATATGGAAGATGAGTTGAAAGGAAGAGAGATATAAAGTCAACATAAGTTGTGTGTGAATGTAAGTGATGTGAGGGGAATAAATATGAGTTTCTAATGTTTGACCCATTTACATATTTTCGGTATTAGCATTCATTTCTTTATTAATCTCACACATTTTTCCATATAAAATGTAATCAATCACTCAACTAATTATTCAATTAAACATATAATTGCCACTAATAAGGCAATGCCATATAATTAAAGCATTTGATTTGATTATGCCAAATTAAATATTCTATCATACCATATAAAAATGTGAGATTGCTAATTACAAATACATAAATAATGTTTCAAATTTTAATAGAAGAAAGTTCATATAATTTTGATAATTAACCAATTAATTAGGTTAATTGACATGCAACATTTATATCAAATCATGTAATCACATTTAATCAAAGTAGAAATTAATTTACTTCCCATAATCTAGATACGGCAATCCCATAATCTTTTCCTTGAATAAACGTGACAATTCCATGATAATTTCTTTATCAAAATTTGAAATTAAAAAAAGTGCACTTTGGGTCCTTCAACTATGAAAAAGTCATCAATTTGGTCCCCTAACTTTTCGGGTGTATATTGATTACGAGCTTATGTTTTTGGATACAACAAATGGAGTAGTCTGTTCTCAGGAACTTCATAGACGAAGAATTTGTTGTCTTCTTGACCATAACATTACCACAGAGTTTGAACTAAAAGCCTTTTGAGTTTGATCTTATCCCAATTTTATGCGTTTCAAAATCACATACTTCTAAAGTGAAACATATTCATTCCAGTGAGATCAGAGTTTGAACTAAAGCCTTTTGAGTTTGATTTTAATGCTTCATTGAATTATATGCTTCAAAATCACATACTTTTATTGGTATATTACTATTAATTATTTGAGTAGGCTAATGATGTTCTTAGTAATTATTTAAATTAACTCTACATTTTGACATCTTGTATTCGACAGCAGTCAATACTTTTGTTTATTGAAATTATGGAAAACTTGATTATATTTGTTGATAAATAGAATTGTCTTATTTAATTATTACAGGTTTTCTAGTAATCAAATAAATAAATATTTTAAAAAATAAATGGACATTTATGAAGTGCAAAAAAGTATGTTGTAAAATATTTCATTATTGTTACGGCATGCATGTGCAGGCCAAATAATAAAAAAAAAAAACGAAATGGAAATTTGCGGCATTTAAAAATGTTTGTGTAAAAAAGTCCGTTCTCTAGTTTTTGAACTGGAACCATGGTACCTAATTCTGTAATCGAATTTGTCTTTTTTTTATAAGTTTTATTTAAAATTTTTTTCATCCTGACCCAATAACTCAGACCCAACAAGTAGATTTTTGTAAGACCCAAAAACGCTGGGCCCAAGTAGTAACTAACTTAAATAATTAGATTTTTTTATTTGAATCATATCAATTTCTTTCATAGTCATCTCACTTTAAGCTATTCATCTCACAAATATTTCTTGAGGCGACGCATACAGAGCCATAACCGAAATTGGATGCTATCATGCTCTATATTGGTGACATACGTGCACTAGATTAAGAAAGTGTTGAATCGATTTTTTAAAAAAATATTATGAGTATAATGAATCGAAATTGACGATTCGGCTTCAATTTTTGTTCTAATAATTACATGGATCCGAATTGTTTCATTTATGTAATACTCGAAGTATAATGTGTGATTTCGAATATTAAAATATTTGGACCAATACAACCGAAACCCAATCCTATATACACCATCCATTATATACTTTTAATTTCTTTTGACTTGTTGTCTAATGAAATTTTGAATAAAGAAAGAAATACGGAAACGTAAAAACAAACATGGAGAAAGAGTACGAGGTTGCTAACAAAGTAAAGGCTTCGGTTCAAGCCTCTTTCTATCAAAAAACAATCACCTTGTACCCCCAACCGCATTTGTTGTTAAGAATTTAAATCAAATACTTATTTAACCTACAAGATCCTCATTCTAAGAAGACAAAAATAATATAAAACATTTGGAGAAAAACAATACGAAAAACTCATGAGACTTGAACACACTTTCACTTAGAATGTGCAATTAAAAAATGGCGCAAAATTGCTTCAGTGGTTCGAATGAAATATTAATTCAATAATGTTTGAAATAAATTGAAGTTCAATAACCAAGATAACACTAAGTTCAAAGTTCAGTACCCATTTGTAAAATAAACCCACTATAAAATGTCAAACAGATATTTTACTCGGATTCAAGTGTGTGTGCACATCTACAAACACGCCAAGAGTGGCATAAGCCCTAGCCGCTCCCCTTAAACCCCTCTCTTTTTTCAGGTTCAGCTTTTTCCTTAAAACTCCACAAATCTAAGCTCTATTAGTGATCTTTATGTGTGTTGGTTTCTACTTGTGTATTTTCTGTATGTATGTATTTGTTTGTTTGAGTTGTTTTCTTCTGAGTTAGTTTCTTCATTTTTCCTTTTGTTTCCCGCAATTTCTGTATTTATGTTTTTTTTTTTTATCTGGAGTCTTTTATTGGGTTATTTTCTTGTAATCTTTTAGTTTCATTAGAAATTCATTTAAATTTGAGGGTTTAATGTTTCTTATTACTTAGCATCTTCTAAGATATTATTTTTCTAATTATGAGTTGTCTTTATATTTCTACGTTTTAATGTAGAAAATATATTTTTTATGTTTCTGTGTGTATTGTTGTCTGTCTGTCTGTATGCACTAGCTCATGTGCTTGTTCTGCCAATTTGAAAATTGTGTAGTGTTTTTTTGTTTTAGTGATTTTGTGAAGAAGATTAATATGGTATGTTGCTTGATGATGCTGATGTTAGCTTTCTTGATTTGACTACGGTGAAAGGTTATACATAAATTTGTTTCACCCATAAATTCACCCTTCGTTGTGTGAAATCTATGGCTGCACTAATCTTTTTATGCATATTTTGTTTCTCTAAGTTAGGTTTTGGATTTAATCTGGTTAAAGATGCTTGATTAGTATTAGGGATAAAGAAGAGATGAAATTATATTTCATACTAGGCACACTGTCACATTATATTATAGAAGGAAGCAGGAATCAGAGTAACTAAATGTAACATTTTATTTTCTCTAAACCTTAACACTCCATACACGTTGATCACCAATGAATGAGCCTTTTCTGTTTGGACACCATTGTTATTATTGTTGGGAGCATTTACTCATCATAAGATTATCTGGTTTGGGAGAATTGATGATACATTACTGTTTTTCTGCTCGGCTAGATTTTTGCTATTTCTTTTTTCTTACAAACTGATTTAGATGCTTGGACTTCTTGATTTATTCTTGCAGTTTATTTTGCAAATGGCATTCTGCAACAAAGTTGGAACCGTGTTGAGGCAGAGCATCTCTTCGAACAGTACATTGCATGGGCAGGTGTCAATGATTAATGCCATTCGCTGCATGTCTACAAAGCTTTTTATTGGCGGTATGTGCCTCGAGTACCCCTTTGAAATTTTGAGTGATTTATCAGTATTCTGCAACAGATTTTTTTGTGCTCTGTTATACATATCACCTTTTCTTTTGATAGGGCTTTCTTATGGAACTGACGACCAATCCCTAAGGGATGCATTTTCTAGCTTTGGTGATGTTGTCGAAGGTGATTTTCTTGTCGTTTCTTGAATTTGACTTCGAGATGAAAATGGATTTAGTTTTGGCCTAGTGGAAATTAATTTAGAGATTTGTCAATTTTCCTGGTAGAATTAGAATATCAACTCCTATATTATTTTTTATGCGATATGAATATGAGCAACATGCTAAATACCCAAGTGTTCAAATGTTTGAATGTGTACATGTCCTGTGCTTATATTACAAGATAATATATTACAGATAATGTATTTGTTCATGTTGTAAAAGAGAACAACTGATACTTTCATTAGAATCTAATGTTTGGAAATTTTATCAAACTGGTTTACTCATAGTTTCTCGCTTTGAGGTTGAGTTGTCCCATGTTCTTTGTTGGTGATGCGGATTTATATGTAGCATTTCACACGCTAAGTCTATATAAATAAAAGTCCTGTTTCATTGTATGTTATTTACATTGATCCCTTTGAGTGCCTCATATCTGAAGAATCTGTTCAATTGTGACCTTATAATGCAATCGCTTTCTCTGGTCCAATTGCTGTTTTTGTTTTATGTATTCCTGATTTATACATTTGGTTGTGAATTCCAATGTGGCAGGCATATATCTACACACCAAATTATAGTTCCAGTCACACAGTACCCTTTGCTTGTATTTGTTCATGAAAGCGTATAAGATTTGATTTTATAGCTTACTGATGGAAAAGTTTATGTTTTCCAGGTTTTGTTGAGAAGTCTATGTTTAATACCTTGATTTCTATTCTTTCTAGAAATATAATCAGATGTTGATAATCCTCGGACACTATAGAGCAATTATCTCATTAGGGTTTTAGATAGAATTGTTTAAAAATGCCATCTAATTTGGCCAACTAATTATTAAATATTGAATAATCATCTTTGAGACTTTTCTCTCAATTTATATTCCAAATTCATAAGAAATAACAGTGGTTTGTTGTTTTGTTTTATGGCATTCTCAACAAGTCAACGAGAAATGTAACTGCCCCATAATTGAATTTTGGCTTACTCTATTGCATCACTATAGGTAATTCATTGCATTTCATCTTTTTCTTCCCATAAAGTTATATTGGTGGATCTTTTCCATGTTAGAATTGATTATGCACTTGGATATGATAACTGGTGTCCTCGAAACATCGAACCTTTTGTTGAACAGCTAGAGTCATTACGGACCGAGACACCGGAAGGTCAAGAGGATTCGGGTTTGTGAACTACTCAACTGAAGAATGTGCTAATTCAGCACTATCGGCCATGGATGGGCAGGTGAGACAAATCTCTCTCTCTCCCTTCAATATGGTTTTAAGTGTAACTTTACCTGTTTTCTCACTGCAGGAACTGAATGGAAGGAATATCCGAGTTAGTTACGCCAATGAGAGACAACCTCGCAATAACTTCGGTGGTAATCCTGGAGGAGGTTTCCGTGGTGGCTTTGGTGATGGGGCAAATGATGGATATTGAAGGACTCATTGTCTGTATAGTCAGTGACAAGTTTCTTTATTTTCCAAGTTGAGATGCATGCTTTGTGTTTGGATGTGCTTTTAGAACCTTTTTGCTTGCTTGGTAGGAGAATTGGATTGAATCGAACTCAAGTTTTAGTATGCTTTGATACTAGATTTACTCTTGCTTCAATTGATATCTGATCTTAAGGAAAAGTACATTACCAGTTCAAATAATTATACTATGGCCCTGTCTGGGCATGATTCTGGCCATGAAAAATTGATTTTTCAACCGTTTTCTTCTGACACATTAGACACAATTCAGCAGCTACTTTTCTCATTTTGTGACCGTTGCTTCTCTCAACGGTTAGAAAATCAATTTTCCTGCCGTTTACAATTGGAACCAGACAGGGCCTATATGAATCTGTGTTTAGAAAGGGCATGTTTTAAATTTTAATTGAATTGTTCAGATGAATTGTGACTTGTATTTCCTCTCGTTCATATTGAACTTCAAACCATTTTTAGAACAATTTCAGAAACCCGTCCAGTTTAGATTGAATGGGTTCATTGTTTCTCTATAACCAGGTGGATTTGACCTGCCTTGACTGGTTCCTTGGGGATGCGTGCACGCACGTATATGATGTGGGTTTAAGAACTGGGTTGAGGGCTTGTTTGGTATGGCTTTTGAGAAGTCAAAATGAGCTTTTGAAATTCGAAAGTTACTGTATATGATGTGGGTTTAAGAAATGGGTTTACGGCTTGTTTGGTATTGGCTTTTGAGAAGTTAAAATGAGCTTTTGAAATTCAAAAGTTGCTTTGGACTTACTTGGCTAATCCTATGAAAGTGCTTCTTTTAATTAGAAGTGCTTTTAGAGAGTTAATCCAATGTCGTTTCCTTGAAGTACTTTCAAAATAATTTTTTTGTTAAGAAGCTAAAGTAAAAGTCATGTCAAACGGACCTTTAAAGTTTGTTCAAAATCAAGGCCTAGATCCATTTAGAGCCAATACTGTTTGACATTGGTAGGTAGGTCCTGGGATGAAAGTGTTTGAGTTCAATTTTTATGGAAAGCATCAACTTGATGGGCTCCTCGAATTTCATCGATTCTATGTTACTCTGTTTGAGGCCAGCTCCTCTTATTTTGAGCTTTGCCATAGTATTCTACCAAGATGTTTTCAACGTATCAAGAGCCATATCAGTCAATTGTAATTAATTTGCTATCGAATGTCCATATTTTCCCATTTCCCTCCCTCAACCTAGAAATGAAACGGGTTGAACATAATGACAAACATTACGATTTACTTCATAATACACCTCTCAATTAAGTAAATAGCTAAACGACGAGGTTGCAATAGTAAGTTAAAATGATTGCGCGAAATGGGTTTAATAAATCTAATTTGTGGTATTCATCTCTCGACTTATTTTCAGGTCATATTTCTCAGTTGTCGGGGTAGATTTTCGGTATTATTCTGAACAACTTGTGATCATCTATGTGACTAGAGTGTGTTTGGTAGGGGTTTTTGGGAGAAGAATTGATTTTTGAATAGTGATATGATGGGAAATTTGTGGTTGAAAAAAAAAGAAAAAAGTATTGATGTGATGGAAAATATTATTTTATTGAAGAATGTGTGGTTGAAAATGAGGATTGATTTACTGTAGAAAATGAGAATCTATATCAAACATGCACTTAAATTTATTTACTGAAAAATCGTTAAATATTGAACTTAGTTAATTTCGTTCCTGCTAAATTAAATAAAATTCTATTTAGCACCAATTGAGACTTGTCTGATTTGAATAATTAAATAAAACAAGATCAAGCCCCCGACTAGTTAATCCTGAATCCACCCTCTCGATACACTTGCTATGTGTAAAAAATATGTTAGAACTACAATAAATCTTTAAAAGTCTAAATTAAAAACAAATCTAAATCTGGGCTTGGGTGTCAATATCATGACTTACGCAATCCTGTTCTCACTTTGATGAAATTATACCATGAAGGAATCAGACATTTTTTATTGTGAGGTCAAAAATTAAAATGCTATTTTTTTTTATAAAAACATAAATTTAATGAACATAAATCAATATCAATACACTATTAAAATTATAGCCTACGCATTTTCATTAAAAACGCCGTATAATTACATCATTATCAATATTATCAAATATATCGTCCAAATAAAATTATAAAACAATTCAAATTGAGCGAATATCACTTCTTCTATAAATATCACCATTAGTTTTCCATAAATTTAATAAAAATGATAAATAAAATAAGGATTGCTACCTAAATTCGTTAACCATTGGAAGAATTCCAAAACCTATAATTTCAAACATTCTAACAAAATCAATTGCAACGTCAACATCGAAGACCATCAATCATAAATAATAACATAGAAAAGTAAGAGGAGAGAGAATCAAATATAAAACCAGTACATCAAACATAAAAATTAAAACTTTAAAATTTCATACCTGATTGAAGAATGGATAATAGTGATTGGATATTGGAGAAGAATAATTTATTTGGATTGTAGTATAAAAACTAAAATTGGAATTTGGAGGAGGATTGATTTGATTTGTGTATTCTAAACGCAAGAGAGGAAAAAGAGTTATCGTGAGGTAAATACAGAAGAGTTAAGACAAAACAACAGAATTTTTGAAAATAAAAAAAAAAAAAAAAGATTTTGTGGGGGTCACATGACCCCATGAGGGTTGGCTCACTTATATTTTAACTTTTCATTTCAGTAATCAAGTGCAAATTTTTCTTTAAAAATATTGGTTTGGTGGCCAACACGGATCACTGATCACCTCTATGCAAGGTCGTCGTATCTGAGACTTTTCAGACTTGAATCGAACCCTCAAATTTTAGTGTGTATGCAATTTTTTATTCATAAGAGTTTATAGAAAATGTATCCGTAAACCCAAAACCAACAATAAAATGAGAAACAAGGCAATTCTAGGATGAGTTTAAGCTCTCATTTGAACTTCATTCTTTAAAACTCATTTTTCTCTAGATTCATTCTTCAATAAATTAATTTTATACCTAAATTCAATGTTTTTTTCTTTATACTTTTTAACCACACATTCTTTAGAAACATCATCTTCTCAAAAAAAAAAAAAATCATTTTCAAAAAGGACTAAATTACTAGTAAACACAAAGTATGAACCTTAATTGACACCTTCCCATGTGTAAAAAAAAAAAAAAAAAATTTAATTATATGTAAATAACTTCATTCAAAGTTCAAACCATTACAAGGAATTATATGAAAGTGGGAATCATTTTTTAAAACCAAAATAATAATAATAATAATAATAATAATAATAATAATAATAATAATAATAATAATAATATCATGAAATGGATGTATCAAATTTCAGCTCAAAGTAAGCATCAAATTCATGTCATATCATCACATGTAAAGCAAATATAACACCACCGTGCCCGATAACAAATTAATTTCATTCTTATAATCAATAAATAAATATTTGGGAAAATTTCAGAAACAAGAGCACAAGTATCACCTATTTCAAAACTAAGAAAATAAGTTTCAAATTTCAAAAATCAGATTTTTTAAATTTATTTATAAATTAATTTATTAAACATATATTTTATTAATTAAATATATTAAGGTCACAATTATATGCAATTTGATCATAATTCTATAATTAATTAGTCACAAATTAATTTTTGGCATAATTTATCAAAATTATTGATCACGACTTACTCCTCGGTCACGAATAAAAATTTTATTGGTTACGATTCAAAAATTTTATGTCACAATTTGTTTATCGGCCACAAATAAAAAATTTATACGTCACAATTTTTTTATCGGTTACAAATCACAAATATTACAAGTCACGGCTTATTAGACAGTCACAAATTATCAAATTACCGATCACAAATTAACAATTTTTTAGACCTCACATTATTTTTTGGTCACAATTTATCTTTTTATTGGTCACAACTTATTTCCAAATCACAAATTAAGAATTTTATAGGTCACAGTTATTTCTCGATAACAAATCGAAAATTTTATCTGTCACAGATTATTTATCGATTACAAAATCAAAATTTTTATTGGTCACAACTCGATTACAATTTAATAAATTGTGAGTCATTGTCACAATTTTTAGATCACATATTATTTATTTGACAAAAAAATAACCAATTATTGGTCACAAACACCACCACCACCACTGCCACTTGCGCACCATCACCCCACCACCACCACCACCACCACGAGAAACCACTAGCTCCACCACCAACAGAAATGCACCACTGTGACCGCCACCACCAACCACCACCACCACCTCCACCACTGCCTAGCCACCGTCACTGTCCATCGCCACCAACAACAAAAACGCACCACCACCGTCATTGCCCATCACCACCAAAAATAACTTAGCATTGCACCACCACCACTAAACAATCACCACAACAAGCACCACTAAAGTACAAACCACACCACCCATCTCAGAGCATTGATCTCCAGCACCACCACACAAATCGCACAAATCAGAACACATACCACAGATCAACCACCTCCACCATTTGTCGACGCTCAAATCGATGTTGTGACGACTTCGTAGTGTCGCCGCACCAAAGCTCATCGCTACCAAGAGAGCGGCGCTCGTTGCGTCAGTGGGCGAAGATGTTGGGTGTAAAGAGAGAGAAAGGTGAGAACCGAGGGTAGTGGTGGTGATGGTTGGGCGTAGACGATGGGCAGCGACGTGTGAGAAATGTAGAGAGAAAGGAGAAGGAATGTAGAGAGAGAGAGAGGAGGGGAAGGCGACGGGTTGTGGGTTAGGGTTTGTGATGTGTGTATTGCAGTATATATATTTATTAAATATAATTATTTTATAAAAATACTAGTTAAAATAAAACTTCTGATTTTGGAAATATTAAACATGCCATTTGAATTATGAAATGAGATCTTGAAATCTATTAGAATCTGTAATTTCCACTAAATATTTTTTGGACCATAAAAAGTTGAGTCCCAAGAATTCTAAACTTTTAAGGTAGGGGT